TTTATTTTGCTTCGAGATGCATAAATGTTTATTCAGTATGCGACGCGATGGGACTGTGAGGAGATGTTTCCAGGAAAAGAGAGAGAAACCATATGGACACTGTACATGTCACATGATCCTCATTTAGGGGGCATTTAAGCAAGAATATAATATGAAAAAATGTGAACAATACAAGACATATTTATCTTTTATTTCTCCCAAGGGTGGGTCATGCATTCATTTATTCAGTAGATAAACTTTATCTATAAGTCTAATGCCCAATTCATGATAAATCATAAATCCCAGTTTGACACATCCGAGGATGGTTGTTAATTCGAAAAAGTTTATTAATCGTCTAAGAAAAATCTTTTTTTTTTTTGTGTGTGTTATGATCATATTCGTAGTTTCATAATGAAACTCTCATGAGCAAGTGCATCGTCCAACTCCCGGCTGTGAAGAGTCTGGTCTATGCTGGGCCAAGCTGCTGCATTGGTGCGTTTTTTTGGCATACAACACTGCTGGTTTTTTTTGTTACAAAGGGTTTTTTCTCTCTTCTGGTGTATTTCTTTTTCTGGTTGAGCCTGACAGCAATGCATGGCCCAATAGCACTGTTTACCTTTTATGTTCAGTGCTGCTCTTGGCTTATAGGGGTACTACTTTTATCAAGGTTAATGTGTAAATTTGTTTCGAAAAATTTTATTCAGAAGTATTGAGCACCTAAAAATTTTGTAGATATAATTTTGCCTCACACCACATTAAATTGTTTATTTTAAAATTTTTAAAATAAATTTGTACTTCAAATTTTTGAATGCACAACGTTTTTAAGTGAAAACTTTCTAAATAAATTTACACCTTAAACCTTTTATTAATATCGTGTTGACTTTTTTTTTTCTTTTTTCAAATAACTTGAAGTGATCCCATGTGGCATGGCTTCGCAACGAAAAACAAGCGTAGCTTCTTACGCAGCTGGTTTAGGAGAGAAGTGATTCTTTGAGATGGTAAAGTGAGAATGCTGAATAATGAATGCGTTAGATTTTTGATTTTTTTTCAATAATACTAAAATTTATTAAGCAAACACAAGTAGACGAAGCTCTCCACCTTAACCTCCCCCTCTATGATAGGTGGTGGTTAATTGAGGAAATAAAAATTGCTTTATGAGAAAGTTGGGCTAAATAATTAGCGGTTCAAATGGATTTCTTGTGAGATTTTCAAATTTTAAAAGGACAATTACAAATTTTAGCCCCTTGCGAATATTTGAACGGGGTAAAAAAATAAAAACCCAACTGACTCAAATGCACATGTGTACATGTAATTTTCGATTTCTTACTTCTTGCGATTTCTTTCTGCCCATTTCTCCGCGCCTCGCTTCCCAAAAAGATACTCAGCTGTGGAGCTGAGAGCCTGAAACCAATCCAATCCTTTGGCTTCCGAGGCCAGCTGTACCGACCTCCAGCGGACCAGCGGGTTAACTCAAAAATCAGAAGCTTTTACCCGCTGAATCATTCTACACCCTTTTTGGTCAATTCATGCCTCTCTTTGCGCCTTCAACCTCAGAAGCTTTCGTTTCCTTCCCATGAAATCCCATTTCCTGCCTGAGTTCCGATAATCTATTTCAATTCCCATCTATCTTTGGTTTTTCTGAGGAAAGATGCAGCTTGATCTGGAATCATTGTCAGAAGCAACTTCTGGTGCCATTGGTTCCCTTGTTAGCACAACCGTCTTGTACCCTCTCGATACTTGCAAGACCAAATATCAAGCTGAAGTTCAGGCTAAACAACAGCGAAGATACAGGTTGAATCATTTCCAGACAATTCTATCAGTATTTGTTAGTTGGATTACAATTTGCATCATGTTAATTATATTAGGATGTTCTAATCTTTTTGTCCGATTTCCTTTGAAGTAGCTTGTTTAACTATCAGTGTGAAATTGTTGGCCAAAAAAAAAAAAAAAACTATCAGCGTGAAATTATACATTATAATGTTTGCCAAAGTGATAAGTCAACTATACTGTTCTTGTTGGCAAATCCAGTTTCGAGTATATCTTACTGGCGTGTTCATTAGCGAGTAGAACAGCAGACTATCAGGAACATGCGTAAATCTTTCTGTAGTTGGTCTTCCATGCTCAGTGTTAACTATCCACTACTAACCTAGTATGGAAAAAGAAAGCAGCAGAGCGTAATGGGAAAATTTTGTTGAGTTGATCAAGCAGAAGGGGGAAAAATCATCGATGGTTTCAACAATAAACCGCGTATTGCCAACTTCACATTTCCGCTTTTCCTACTGTCACTCCAAGGTTAACTATTAAATTATTTAATCACGCTTAGTAAACTTGTTTGCTCTAACTTATGCAGGAATATTTCTGATGTTTTATGGGAAGCTATTTCTACTCGTCAGGTGCTTTCACTGTACCAAGGCCTTGGGACGAAGAACATCCAATCCTTCATTTCGTCATTTCTTTATTTCTATGGATACAGCTACTTTAGGAGGTTATACCTGAAGAAAACTGGAAAGAAGACCATCGGAACGAAAGCAAACTTGGTTGTTGCCACTGCTGCTGGGGTCTGTACAATAGTAGTAACACAGGCAAGTAATAGCTATCAACGTTTTCAGATCAGAATTTTTGTTTGTTAGCTGCCATGTGCCTGTTGTAGTGCGGTTAATAATTCGAGCTGTAGGTTGCTGCATGTAACCAAGTTCTTCTTCCTTTGATAGTTTCAGCTATAGGCATCACAAGAAGACATTAAGTACAGTTTAAAGTTTTAATTATCTATGATATCGGCTCAGGTGGTTTGAATGGATGGGTATACAAGGAAGGTTCTAGGTTAGAGTCTCTATGTACAAAGGCAAGAGAGCAGGAAAAAGAATGTAGTCAAACAATGTTGTAGACTTTTCCAAGCGGACTTTTTAATTGCTAAAATCAAAAGAAATGGGCCAACTGGTAATCAGTAACAAAAGCATCCAAACCATGCTTTCATTGTTCTTGGGTGAATCATTATTCAGTGACTATGACTCCTATTATCATGCACATTTAACATCTAGTTGTACTTCACAGCCCTTAGATACGGCAGCCTCAAGGATGCAGACTAGCGAATTTGGAAAATCCAAGGGATTTTGGAAGACCCTTTCGGAGGGTACATGGAGTGAGGCATTTGATGGCCTCGGGATATCTCTTCTTTTAACATCAAACCCGTCTATTCAGGTATTAGTCTTTCACAGAATATGTATACAATCATGGCATAGAGGGATTTCTTTCATATTATTTCAGATTAGCTTGAGAACAACCTGAATTCAGAAAAGTTTTTATTTTTGCCCGACAGTATACGGCATATGATCAGCTGAAACAGAGACTACTAAAGGGAAAGATGAGCAAGAAAATAGGTGCAAAGTCGTCCCCGGAAGCTCTTTCTGCCTTTTCTGCCTTCATGCTGGGTGCAGTCTCAAAATGTGTTGCCACGTGCCTAACATACCCAGCTATCAGGTGGATGGTCGTGTCAATTCATCTATCCCTCATTCAGGAAACATGGTTCCTAAAGAAGGAGGGGACATTTCATTTTATTCATATCTAAAGTTTCTGCTGCCTTTTCTCTTCATCTTATTTATTTGCTTGGGCCATTTTGCGGACTACGTGATGAAAGTTGTTTTAAACTGCCTATAGGTGTAAGGTTATGATTCAATCAGCTGAGTCAGATGACAATCGGAGTACAGAAGCTGAGCGAAGAGCACAACGAACAATCTCAGGTGCACTCTATACTATTTGGAGAAGAGAAGGCTTGCTGGGGTTTTTCAACGGATTGCAGGCGCAGATATTGAAAACTGTTCTGAGCGCAGCGCTACTTCTGATGGTAAAGGAAAAGATCACGAAGACGTCATGGATTTTGATGCACATGATTGGCAGGTATCTGTCTACTCCTCCCAAAGTAAAGGAAGCTTGAGTTAGCGATAGGTACTTCACGAATCGATTTCTCATCCGAGAAGATGCTTATATGGTGGATTCGGAGCCTCTCTTCTTTCCTTTTCATCCTCTTTCCTCCTTTTCCTTTTATAACCATTAAATTAATATTTTAATAGTTCAGATTTAAATCTTTTTAAAATTATTATTAAAATATGAAACTATGAAAATAAATAAGAAATTACAAACTATATTAAATTTAATTTTAATAGTTTGCAAATACACTAAATGTTTTTAAATTTTTTTTATAAATAGTTTATAAGAAATTAAAATCTAAACTGTTAAAATATGTTAATCTAATGGTTAAAAAAAAAAAAAAGGAAAGAGGATAAGAAAAGAAAAGGAGAGGTTCCGCTTACATGGTTGTCTTCCATGGAGGAAAATTGGTGCTTAGTTAGAAGTCTACGTCAGCTCGTAACGGGGCATGGACCTCCCATCGTAAGCAGTGCAATGAAATGCTGAATCTGCACTCTTTGCACCTAATCTGGTCATTGATGATGGATTTTTTTATTATTATTGTTAAAGTTTTTAGCATTGACAAGGTATGCTATGGAATATGGATTTCCTATCATATAGGACGGCCGGATTCTCTCTGATGTATCTTTTGGGAAAGACTGCATGATGATCTGTTCTCAAAGTTCATAATATATTTTGGCCAATAAAAATGAGTTCATAATTGGGTGTGCTATGGTTATATATATATATATAGATAGATAGAGAGAAAGAGACACACACACGTTATTAGTGTCCTTGTTCTCTGTAAAACCCGAATTCATACTTGTTTTCTTTTTCCAAATCTCACGGAACGTAGTTAAAATGCCTCGGCCAAAAGTAATTCTGAACGCCCCGTGGCAAAAACAAAACAGCAAATTTTGAATTCAACCCAGGAAAAAAGTGAGTTTTTGCCATCTGCTTAAATTTCATACTCTTTACATCCTAAAACTGAATCAGAAGATGAATTTGAACCGCATTTATGATTGAACCTCAAAATCAAATGAGCAATGTCAGCACTTCCAAATTTAAAATTGAGATACCCGTAGCAGGTTGCAAAAGAATGCTTCTTTACTGCACAGGCCTTCCTTTCCATTCTGCCGAGTATCTGCGCAGCGTGCCTTATATTTTCACCACAGAATCAGTGGTTTTTTGTAGCCTTATCTCACACGAGAAAGACCTCTCTGGTCTTACTCTATTTTATCAGCAAGATACTCTTCTTTTAATTCTATGTTAGAGGTGCCGAGCTTAAGGAAGCTCGATAACTGTTGATTCGTTGGAAAAGATTATCCTTCTCATCTGGAAGGGAATCACGAGAATCTAAACGCACTCTCAAGATGTAATCTTTACTGAGCTGTCAGTTTCAAGGATGCGCGACACATCTTGTTTTCCAAACAATGGACTTAAACAATATTCCTCCAGAACTTAACATAAAACCCATTTAGTTAATTTGATTAGATTAAAGAAATTAGATAAGTTAGTTAATTATAAGAAATATGATATATTTTTCTTAGAATATCATAATCATCTTTCTTAATATCCTTCTTCTCTCACTTACTTCATTATGACTGGGAAAATATTCATAGAGGTAATTTAGAAAAAAAATTAATAAATACTATATTTAAAATCAAAATTAACTTAACAATTAAGTCTTATATTAAGGATAGGAAGAGTAACATCATCATATTAAATAAAGGTTTGAAATAAACGGATATTGACCGCTGCAGCAGCATCTTGTCAATTTAATCCGAACCGATTAGTAGCATTAGTTTAGTGCTCCAATGGTATGGGAAAGAGTCAACCAGATCAAGATCGAATCCTGCGGAAGATTCAACCTTGTTCTTGCCTCTCGGAAAAATCGTTGTAGTAAAATTACTACCTGCTATGTTTAATATAAAAACTAAATTAAAAAAAACTAGTTAAATTAGTTATTTGTAATAAATAAGTGTTGTCTTTCTAAAATATTTTTACTAATAAATATATTGGTTAGAACTATTATTATTACAAAGACCATTTTGAAAAAAAAAGATAAATATAATAAGCAAAATAGATTAGGGTTTTATATTTAAAATCAAAATAAAAATCAATTCAGTTAAGATTGGGAGGTAGTATGTAGAAATATCAAGTTCAGTACCCAAATGCAAGAAAATTCTGATGAGCATATCTATACAATCAGAAACCCTCCCCAAAACCCTGACTCAGTAATCCCGGATCAGTCATTGTTCCCCTTCTAATCCAGCGCCCTTTAACTGTTCAGAAATAGATGAAAAAAAAAAAACAATAAATGATCAAGTATAGCAATCAAAAGGCCTATTACTCTAACCGGAAGGTGTGGTTGAGCGGTAGGGGCATATGCTCCATTAAAGTGTCGAGGGTTTGATCTTATTTTGGATATGGAAAAGCTTTAAAACTTTGACCAGTTGTTCCATCCATCGAGGTGCTTACAAACCAGTAAAGGGATTAGTCACTAGGTACCCAGTAGATACCATGATATTTCATAAAAAAAAAAAAGGACTATTACTCTTTAAATTTGATAGAGGCTGGGCAGATGATTTAAATAAGCAAGAAAGGCTTTCGTGCAAGAATTGCTCGATAAAAAGGGGGAAAAAAAAAGAAACATATAATATGAGATGAAATTAGCTAATCCCAGAAAAATGGTAAATGGAAGATAGAATATCGAGTGAGAGTAGTCGTCACTGCATTTGACTGTGTGACTCAAGAGAATGGAGGAAGCAAGCAGCGAGAAATGCAGAGAAAACTTGGCCAACGCCATTGACGGTACTTGTTTGGTGGAGGACCTTTTCTTTTCCAGAGTCTGGTTTTCTTGACTTAATTCTTGGGGGTACTTCAGTGCTCGTCAGTCGTCACCTTACCTACAGTTCCTTCCAAGGCGGAGGAATAAGATATTTATTATTCTCAACGGGAAAGCACCGACATAGTTCGGTGCACGCCATGCGTTTCTTTCCAACACATTGGGACTGGGGAGGGCCGTCAGGATCCTCGTCCAAGTCAATTTGGACAAATGTCGTTTGAGGGCCAAATGGTGTCATTTTGGTTTCTTCAGAGTGGAAACATGCAAGACAGGGTTCATGCCAGATGGATTTTTTTGGGGAAAAAAAAAGTGTTAACTACATATTAAATTTCTGCTTTATATCGGTACCAAGAGTAGTCGTTGTGAAAATAAGTTCATTGCCTTTTGTACCTATCAACTATTACACAACTTTATTTATAACATAGTTTTTCTGGCCAAAATGACGAGGAGCTTGTTTTGACTAACATCCAATATGTTAATCTGTTCATTTATCATTCAATTGACACAAGAGGAATCAGCTTGAAAGTCGATAACTTTACTCTCAGCTTATTAAGTTTTCATGTCAACTGATGGCCTATCAAAATCATGAAACTGCCTGTATCCTTGCTCCACGCTTCAAGACAAACCAATTTCTGTCATTGAAAACTATCTTCTTCAAGTGGGAAAGTTCTGGCGGTGGCCAAGGGAATAAGGGATCATTCCACCTCACTCATGTAATTAAATCGCAAGTCCAGGTCTGAACCACTAGAATATTCGGTAATTAAGTAAATTCCAAAATCCAGGAGGGCCAAATTGTCACTTCACACCGCAAATTCAGATCCTCCGGACACAAACAAACCAAATTGGTGGATGCAGTTGAATTCGGATAGCGTGGCCCAATCCTCCAATAGACTAGTGTCCACGTAAGCAAATCTCAGCTTCATATGTAGGACATCATTTGCATCTCCCCTGTAATTCAAATGCTCTTCGCTGACAACTGAATTTCCTCTCCTGAAAAAATGGCGGTCTCAGCGGATTGCCGGATATCTCTGTCGGCCTCCGTCCAGTTACGTAGAGCAAGGGGATTGGCCGGCAGGAACTGCAAGCTCGTGAAGTTCTCCAATGGGGAACTCATGGGACAGAAGCTCATGCTTCCCAAACTTTCGCAACAACGAAATGGTTCTCATTGCACTAAAAACAATACCATGCAACCAATCTACATGTCTCTGACTGCTGATGTCCCCACTGCATCCAAGGTTAAGCTCAACCTCACTTTCTTCTCCTTCTCTCCCCTAGCTCTAACACAAATCCACTTACAAGAAACAAAACTAAGAATAGGATGGTAGCTTAGACATGTATTTTGGTGAAGAAGCATGCCAAACGTTGGCATTATATTTAGAGACTATGGTTAAGGTCAAGAAACAAGCCAATGGCATTGTGACCCAATGATACCAAGTTCTCTTGGTTTGGGAAGTTCAATTCTACTTGTTTTTAAACCGTTTATTTAAATAAACTTGCAGCACACTCATTTGTGACTGAGGAATATGCACAAAAGGTTGCTCATTGGTACCAAAAAAGTATATACAGCGTTCCTTTGCACTTTTTTTTTGGGGTACAATGTTCCTCTGCCTCTGCTAAAGCTGTTCATGAAATTAAATGAGGTGGGTGGGTACAAAAATCAGGGAATCTTTCCCTTGGGGGATAGGATTTGGGTTTATCAGCAACTATTTGAGTTGAATAAAGCCCATTTTGAATGGCCCATTACTTTCTGAGTCCCAAAATTTAAGCATCATATGCTGTGGGCAAGTGCAGTTAAGGGACCTGGACATGGAAAGAAGGGACCCACGGACAGTTGTAGCAGTTATACTCGGCGGAGGAGCTGGAACTCGTCTCTTCCCTCTCACCAAGCGCCGTGCCAAACCTGCTGTATGCCTCTTTTCTGATCTTTCCTCATTTTATTTTGTTTTCTCTTAATCATCAACCTTCTCAGCTATGCAAGAAATAAAGTGAATTATAAAGAAGCAATATTCGTGGATAATTACATGTTTAATCATACCTTTACAGAAGGATTCTGCTTAACGAATTTAATGCAATAGTGCATTTGGTGAGGATAGTATTATATGGAGCCACATGAGTCTGATGATCTTGTGTGGGATTTTCTGTGGTAGGTTCCTATTGGAGGCGCTTACAGGCTAATTGACGTGCCCATGAGCAATTGCATCAACAGTGGGATCAACAAAG